GACACTACAGGTAGAAATGACAATTTTTGGATCAACTGCAGCTGTAATAAAAATATTAAATTATCAACAGCAATGTTGTAATAAAAACATTAAATTATGTGTCAAATTATGTCATAATAATAGACATATATATCCCCTTTATTATATATCCCACACCAGCTAGAGTGGAAACACATGAAACTCCATCACATTTTTTAAACTTTTTTTGCTAAATCATTTTTTTTATATATATATTCAGGATCTTAGTTTCAGAATTGAGAATTCTCAGTTTCTAGGTTCATGAAATGGTCATTCCTGTTCCTATTTGGAAAGATTTTTTCCCAAAATGTTGATCATTATTGTATTGGATTTATGTGAACGTTTATGTAAACACGATTTTTGTAAGATTAAGCAAACATGCACAGTCTGTCTTCACAGTAAAATAAATATTTAAATTCTAACATAATACAAAGACTAGGACTTTTGGTTTTATTTGGTATATTAATGTATGCATATTTAATTAAACAAACCTCATTTGCATAAATATGCATAAATTGAAAAAAAATATCAGCAATCAACTGGCAAATATTAATTGTGATATGTATTTTTTTTTTTAAAAGTTGTTCTTACTATTAAAACAAGCCAAATGTATTGATAAAAATGTTGAATTTACCGAGCATTAAATTAAGATAAAGTCTCAGCATCCTGGTCCTTGAGGCGTCGTTCAGCTTGGTGTTAATTACAGTGTCCACTGCTACTGTCTTTTCACGGTGAAACTCATGAGCTCATGTGGTTGAGGGTCTTTTTCTATGCATCTGAATAGGTGGAGTCTATTTTTTTGGCCAGTTCCTGTTTCTGTGACTGGTTAAAATGTATAGTAAATATCACTTCTACTCTATCACATGCACTTGTCTAGTCTATATTCATTAAAGCGAGCTTAAGCAAAACTTGTGAGTATAAAATGATAAATTATAACCAGGGAACTGATCTGCATCCTTCATTCCATGATTTTCCCACCCAGTTTAATGCCAAGAAAGGCTTGTTAATGAGCTGAATTATATTGTTGGACACAGAAAAGACCTTTTACACTCTCTGTTCAGCAGAGAACATTAATCAGATAAGTCCAGAATACCCATGATCTGCTGTGTATACTTCAAGTTTGAAGAATCACACGGGTCAGTGAAACTTGTTAGAACCCACAAAGTGTCTAAAGTGTCAAAAATGCCCACTTCCTCTTGTTAGTTCCGTTCATCTAGTATCTAGCCATCTTACAGAGAGGTGACAAAGAAAACAAAAGGCTGTTAGTAAAGTGTCAGGCCATGAAGAGCTGCCTGAAACAGCTTCTCTGGCACTGTACTGGAGGTATGAACCCTGCCATTCCAAAAGTGGTGTTTGGATGATGGTGGTGGAGAATGGTGTCTAACACATCAGTCCAAATTTTGTCATAGGTATTTAATTGAGTTTAGATGTATTTTAGAGGTCATAGCCCATGATAACTTTCAACCTCATCAAACCATTCAGCAAGCCCTGGATGGGGGTGGAGTGGAGACCAGGAAGAGACCA